ACAGTTCACTGAATTATTTTTATGTTGCATCAAAATTTGATCAGGGTGAACAAGAGTTTTCCTATACCAGAAGAAATTATTTTAAACAATGAAATTTTAAAATTAATCTTTAGTCTGAGAAATTGTGTTGTCTCTTTATATGACCACTGAAGAGCAGTTTAAAGTCTTGTTTAGCTTGATATTCAAGTTGAAAGGACCAGATTAGTTGCTGAACTGAGACAACTGTTTCAATGCTAGTCTACATTTGAGCACCAAAACTGGAAATGCCACCATTCAAGAAAAGATCATCGGGGCTAGGAAGGTGGATCAGTGGTAGAGTGCTTGCCTTGAAAGCCTGAGGCCCTGGGTTCGATTCCTCAGCAGCAAGCCTGAGGCCCTGGGTTCGATTCCTCAGCACCACATAAGCAAACAGAAAAAAGCCGGAAGTGGCGCCGTGGCTCAAGTGGTAGGGCACTAGCCTTGAGCTGAAGAGCTGAGGGACAACGCCCAGGCCCAGAGTTCAGGCCCCATGACCGGACCAAAAAAAATAGAAATAAAATAAATAAAGCAACAAAAGCCATTAAAAAAAAAAAAAGATCATCAATCCAAGCAACTCTCAAATCAATCTCTTACCTTACTGGTTTCTGCATTTGCAACTGATTTTTTTTTCTGTGTGTATTAGCTTCTTAGTCTGCCTTAACAAAATAGTCCAAATTATTGCCATACTCAAATAGGATGTCATAAAATAACTGAAATGTATTCATTCACAGTAGAGGCTAGAAAGCTGTAAACAAGGTATAAGCAGGACCATGCACTACTTTGGCCCTGGATAAAATTGGTCTCTACTTCTTCCCTACTTCTGGTAGCAGCTGTCCTGCCTTGGTGTCCTTGTCTAGCAGGTGTGCCACTTCACAGTTGCTGCTTCTGTCATCAGATGGCATCCTTGTTGTGTGTCTATGGCCTTGTTTTAACTTGAGCGCATGTGAAAAAACCTTCATTTGAAATAAGCTTAGATTCCCAGAGAGCAGGGGACAGGACTTCAACATAGATTGTGGAGAAACACAGTTCAACCCACTAGAATGGGACCTTCAGTAATGATTGATTCTGTGCGTGTGCCTGTGCTGTATAATCCAAAAACTTTCCAAAGAGTGATAAGTTATTCTGAGGTTATGGATTTAGAAAGAATGGGGTTTTAAGAACTCAGGTCACTTCTCGGATTATGTCTGACTTGTATATAAAGAAACATTCCTACCCACAAAAAGGAACCAAGAGTGAAAGTGAAATATTTTTATTTTTCAATATTTGGATACTTTGTGGAACATATTTAATATTTATTTTAGTGGGAGTAAACATTTCTCATTTGTTCTCTAACTTGTTACACCAAACACACATATGAGTATCCTGAAATGCAGTCACATAGCTTATATTTAATTCTCCTTCAATTCCCCTTACGTTTCATAGGCGAACAGTATCAATCCCCCTTTGTCCTTCAATACAGATATGAAAGTAAAGTCTCTATGAACTGAGGATCTGCTTAGAAGAGGTACTTACATCCCTCATGTCCCATGTATTTAGCCTTGTGTTTATCTATCATCTCATTGGCCAGTTTCCTTCCCTAACCTTTTCTAGCCATTACTGATCCCAATTTGTCTCACAGCATAATGTTAATTTTATGAGTTTGGTAGCTGCCTAAAGCATATCTCCATGTTGCTGTAACAAGTTGTTAAATAAGGATCTTCCTGTTTGATTTGCAGCTGAGGTCAAGCTAGAGGTGACAAGTACTTCCTCCAAAATGGGGTGCTAGGCCTTCAGCTGGACTGATGCAGGCAGGAGTTTTTGCTACTGTTAGATGCATGGATTTGTCTTATAAAGAAATTCAAGAGAGGGCAAAGCATTTGTAGGAAAATTCTCTAGAAGAAACAAGTCATTGGTGATTTTATGTGGATTTTACTTTTTTACCTCAAATCAAGTAGGAGAGGCTGCAATTGCGGAAGCCATGTTGAGTTTGCTGTGTATCACCTGATCTTGGGACATGGGCTGTGGTCAAGAGTCTCGTGCTCTTGGTAACTGAAGTGAACCAGGGTGACAGTGGAGAGTGCTTTTCTTGAAAGCAACTGCATGACTTGAACAAGACTGGGGATGATACATGAGAGCTGGTAGGGTTTCCTTGAGTGTTGTTGAAGGTCTTAAGTACTGTTGAAGAAGGTTGGCGGAGGATTAAGGAGGTAGAATGTCTGAAGATGACTTGCTCAGTATGGTGGGGCTGAAAAAGACTGGCAGGTAACCAGATGGAAAAGTTGACAAGCACCAGGAAAACTATCTAATGATGAAGGATCTTGGAAGAACCTGATAATGTACTCACAAGAGAAAGAGTCCCTTCAAATACCAAGAGTAGTATTGCTGTATGTTTACTTTTTTGAAAACTCTCCAAAATGCTTTCAAGAATGGTTGAACAAGTTTATATTCCCACCAACAATTCACTGGGGCTTCTTTCCCCCACATCTGCATCACCATCGGTTGTATATTCTGTATATTAGGCCATTGAGTATTTTAAATATTAGGCCTCTGTCTGATGTATAGTTGGCAAAAATCTTCTCCCATTCTGTAGGCTGTCTTTTTAGTTTGTTAATTATGTCTTTTGTTGTATAGAAATTGTATTCGAAAGAATGGTATTACATCATTTGCAAAGAAATAGTTGGAGCTGGAAAAATGATATTAATAGAATTGTCTGGCACAGAGAGACAAAAGGATACACGACTTTTCTCATATGTAGAAGTGAGATATAAGTTATAGGCATGCAAGTAAACAAATACAGGGTTGGATGCAAGTATACACAATATTGACCAAAATATGAAATTTTCAGGAGAGAATTTGCATGGTATAATTCCTTAGAAAAATGAATTCACAATTCAACAAATACTGGGGAACTGGCACTTAAATCAGGGTAAGAGGAGTGAAGGGAAAGGGAATGGAAAAATGGAGAGAAAAAGGTGGTGGTAATAACATAGGAAACTCCAAAAAATGGAGAGAAAGGATTGAGTTGTGAAAGGTGGGGAAAATGACAAACAGAGCGATATCAATCAAGATGTAATGTATTTATAAACTGATTTGTTCATTGGCAAACCCTTTGTACAACTACCTGAGATAATAAAAATATAACTAAAAACAAAAATTTGTGAATGACTGTAAAGAGGAGGTAAGAAATCAATGTTCTTATTTATGTGTTTTTATTTGTTTCTAAACTATCCTAAAGACTCTTACATAAATTAGATGTTCTTAGCCAGGTAATAATTGATTTTTCATCATGCAGAGGGACATTATAGGGATCCTTTACCAAAATGCTATGTCTCATGTATTATGTACATGGATATAGACCACCAACACTTAAATTATGTTTCTCTGTGTGTTATAATCTCTCATTAACAAGGATCAACTAAGGCAGTGTGCCAAGAACTACTGCTATCCCTGGGAATACGTTTCAGCTAGGTGGGGAACTACAGCAAAATAAGCAAACCTTTCATTACTTTTGCTTACTCTTCAACTATGCCTTTCATCAGATTGGGGATGCATGTACACACATGAAATAGTTTAGACTTTTCTACCTTCTCCCCATTATTAATAATAGTTTTTTTTTCTAGGAATTAGAACTTAGGAAGCAGCTGGCAAGAATAACTCAGATCTTAGAGTAATTCTCTTGATGCTAGAACACATGTTTGGAGACTGAGGATCCACAAAGAGTTGTTCTCCCTTGAAAATTAATGGAGACATTTCAGTTGTGGAACATTTCTACACTGTAGTCTCCAATTTTTCTTTATAATTTCTCCTTCAAATAAATTCCTCTTCTCACTTCCCTATTCTGATAGAGGACTGCTTTCCTTAGTTACTAAGGATCAAAATCGTAGTCATTTTCTTTACTTCTCCTTTTATGATACCATTAGTATCCAGATCCTGCTTTTTGTTTGTTTATTTGTTAGCTATATTTTACTTTAAAGGAGGAGATATTCATTTTGGCTGAAAGTTTTAGAGTTCAGTCTCAGGTTGTTTCCTTCCATGTGCTTGGTGAGAGCATCAAGGTAACAAGATTAAGAGATTTTTCACCTCATGGCAGAAAACAATCAGAGAGAGAGAGAGAGAAAAAATGAGAGAGAGAGAAATAGAGAGAGAGAGAAGAACCAGTGACTTGGTATGACCTTTAAAGTCATGTCGCTAGTCACCTGTCTACAGCTAAACCTTACCTTCTTAGTTTTACCTGGATGTTCCCCTAAAAGTACAAACTAGATGATAGCTATCAACTGATAAATTGGAAAAGACAAGGAAGTAGTGACTAGACCCATTTTTTTTTAGAAATCTACAGTATACAGCAAAGGGATAGCCTTTACAAATAAACATCTACAGATGTTTCTTGTACTTTTTCTTTTTATACTGGAAAGACTAGATCATTATGTTGTTTGTTTGATAATAGCTGAAAGGAACAGAGGATACAGTACTAAAGGAAGCTAGCAATTGTTACATGGTCCTCAAAGAAGAGAGGAGATAAAGAATCTCAAAGAGAGAAGCTAGTCTTAGACAAAAGAGCCCCTGCTCCCCACTCATGGGAAGACAGTATGCAATTTGAATGGGAGAATGATGCTATTCTTCTTTGATTTCTTCCTCTTTGTGAAGCTGGAAGTGAGGACCCTTGATGGTAATGAGAATGAGTGATGGGGTTAACATTTTAACAATAAAAAACTTTTTAAAAATTTTAGGATTTCTAAGACTCTGTGACTTGTTGAGCTTAAATATCATACACTTAAGTGGCAAACAATCTGAAGATTTGCATGAAATATCTCTCAAGGTGTAGAGCAGTGTGTGCAGTTAGTGTAAGGGTAGGAGATGAAATTCAAGGTGAAACTTGATGTCCCTAAAAGGCTCAAGACAGATACTGTAGGGCTTCTGGAGTGGGATGGAAAGTTGAATGCTAGAGGTTAATATTTCAGTTTCGGTCTGAATATTCACAAGGTTAAAGATAGAGTCACAGAGAGGGAGAAGGGAAGAAAGCATATAGTATGGTTGGACTGAAGGCTTGCTGGGTGACCACAGAGACGTTGGTCATTCCCCAGGTAAGGCCTTGGTATACCCTGAGCCCATTTCTTTCCAGTGTATTTTTCTTTAAGTAAGTCTTCCTAAATTTATTATTTAGCAAATTGTGGCATATTGAAAATGCAAAGTTATATTTAAATATGAGAGGTTATACCTTTTCAATGTTGTATTAGCCTAAATTAATTGTACAAAGGAGCTTTATTGTGATGTTTACAGCATGCATATAGTATACTTTGATCAAATTTATTCCTTCTGTATTATTTCTTCTTAATCACATTCCTCTCCTTTTTCTTTTTAACAGTTTTGGTGGATTTCATTGTGCTGTTTTGATTTGCTTAGTTACAATTGGATCCCAGTATCTTAAGTCATCTAAACCCTTCATTTATACATGTGAACTAGAAAAATATATTTTCAAAAATAGAAAACAGGTGGGTTTCTTAAACTAGACAACATGCCCAGAAAAGTTCCTCATTTGGTTTTCTAATTATAAAGCACAGAAGGAAGGTTTGGATTGAAATTTTAACTTACCCAGCTCTACAGGATTAGTTTTCACTGTGTGCAACCGAGTATTTGACAGTTGTTAAATATTTGCTTTAACCGTGAGTTTATTTTGAGTACAACACAATTGCACCTACCATCTCTGTATGGCTCCTTTAGGAATTGACATTCACTCATAATATTTAACTAGAAAAATGAATGGCTTAAAGATAAAAAAGTACATTGAAAAATAGAAAATGCACAAATTATTGTATTCCCTTAGAAGCACATAAGCCTTGATGAAAGTAGAATAAATGATTGTGGAAAGAGTTTTGACCTAATTTTTACAGAACCTTTATTTTTTAAATATATTTAGCTCCTTAGCAGGATCTCTTTAAAACACATACTAAAATTCAATCATGTGTATCAGGCCTATGATATTAAGTTCTAACTCACGTGGCAATCAGCAATTTATTATATACGTGATAATATAAGTTTACATCTTTAAATTTTATAGACATATGATATTAATATGCATATAAGGTTATATATATGTGAGTGTTTGGCTATCTAAAAGTAGGTACATATGATTATATACTTACCCTGGTCTTGGTATATAAATGTAACACCACCAGCATTTGTTGAAAATTGTGGTAGATCATATTAAACTGAGTCATTCTCTTGACCCAGTATCTCCTGTGACCAGTGTGTAACTTGGATGGTGCAAATAGCGCAGAGTGGGTTTTGAGCTAGAAATAAAGCAGCTGTGCATTTGGTAATAAGGTAATAAATACATTCAAATGAATGAAGATGTATTTAATCTCATTAACTTCATGGTTTAAATCAACTAGAGCAAACGTTCAGTTTATTTGATTTTTGTGATAGGCCTCTGCTAACTTTCTCAAGGCTTCACTCCAACTCTGGGTTCTCCTGAGTTACTGAGTTTATAGTTGTGATCCACATCCAATCTTTTAATTATTGTTGAAACATTTATTGAAAGTCTATTGTGGTTTGGCTCATGCCTGTAGGTTCAAAGTCAGCCCAATCAGGACATTCTATGAGTAGAACACCAGCCTTGAGCAAAAAGGTTAAATGACTGAGCTTTGGCCTTGAATTCAAACACCAGCACTAACACACACACAAAACTTATAATGAAATTTATTTTTAAAAATTACAAGGAATTTTTAAAATAGGAAATCGGTTGTTGCTGGTGGGACATAAGAAAGAATAGCAAAGGGAGTAAGCATAATCAAAGAACATTATATGTATATATTGAAATGTCACAATGAAAAAACTGCATTTCAAACAGCTATATGTGGCAACCATTTATTTAAGAAAAAGGAAGTTCATTATGAGTTAATCACTGAAGATCAAATGCATAAGATTTGAATTTTGCCTGGTATGGATAAGGCATCTAACTAATCTAATCACATTTAATATACACTAGTATATTACCTGCTGAGGTGATGAATATCTATGTTGGAAATATTTTTATATACCCACCTTTGCTATTCTCAGGAAGTTTCAAGTTTCAAAAGTTTTAGTTATAATTTACACTGATGACTATCCATTATTCCTATTTATGAAAAATGTTTTTATATGTTGGTCTTTTCATGAGCCAGAAGATATTTCAATGAACACATGGTAATTTATAGTGTCTGCAACATTGTACAGATTGTTATTTCATTTCATAGCATTTCTTTTGATTGTAGGCAAAAATGAATACTTATGATCACTAATAAATATTACTATATAAATGTACTATATAATGTACTATATAAATATTACTATATAAATTACTATATAAAACCTTAAGTGACTATGCCCATAAGCTAAATATTAGAATTGGAAGAAAATACTGAGATTCTAAATATGGAATTTTTGTCTTGACTAATTTCTCTCTTCAACTATCACAGATCACAGAAATTGTTGAGTGATTTAGTATTAACCAACTAAAACTGTCTAAACATGATGGTTTTCTTTCTGTATCTTACAACAATGATATGCTTGTCAATAATCTTCTGTAATGATAAGTTTCCTATAATGGCCATATGTAGGTAAAATTAGAAGAGCCAGAGTATAATTGTCATATAGTAATAAAATAGGTTGAAGCTATAACTTAAACATTCATTTATTAAGGAACACCTGAATTATGTAAAGCTGGATCAAGTAGGTTAGTTTTAATAATCTTATTTCTTATGCAAATACAATTATAAAATAAAATATTTGCTGGGTTATAAAAATAACCACACTGATTTTTAAATACTAGTGATCTAGTATTTTTTTCATTCGTATAACATACTTATCAATGATACTACTTTAGGTCTAATTATGAAGTATATTTAGTGATTAAATACAGCAGAATCAGCCCACACAGAGATTTAAATCCAAGGTTGTATACTTGAGACTTCACAGCTGGAAGGAATCACTAGATAATTTTCTAGAAGTACTGTTTTCTTGTCTTAGATCAGAAGATCTGGAATGTAGACTAAGAAAATGCATGATAAATAAATCTGACCAAACAATTATGAATCACATCCTCAAATCTCATTTTGATAGTTACACAATCTTTTTATATGTTTTTTTCAGGTCATCATTATTTTCCAAAAATCATGGCTGTCTGCTGAGTTAAAAGTCCTTAGCCAAGATACTGATCCCTGAACTTTTGCCTAAATCTAAGCTAAGGCGTCCTGGCTTGCTTCTGTTTCTGATACCTGTTCACCCCATGTTCTACTCAAGATCTTTACTGGTATTATTGCCCCTGCATGGCGTCCTCAAGCCCCTCCTCTTCTACTCATTCATGTTGCAATTCATACAACAGCTCCTCAGGATGATTTCCAGGCCACATCTATGGCAGCATTCTCTTTCAAATGCTTCCCAACATTACCCACTGAAAAGACAACCCCAAAGCATGTTAAAGTATATGTAGGTCTACGATTGTCCTAAATGTGAATTAGAAGCTCTAAAAGACTGTGTGTGTGTGTGTGTGTGTGTGTGTGTGTGTGTGTTTATGTGTCTGAGGAGTATGAACACATAACATTTTTGTTAAAACAATTTGGAGTACACAATAGTGTATTGTTAAGCACATTGTGAGAACTTACTCATCTTGCAAAACTGAAACCGTACTTACTACCATATTTCATCTTGTCCTGCCAGTCCTAGGACAGCCACATTCTACTCTCTGCTTCTATGAGTTTTGCAATTTTAGACACCTAATATAAAGTGGTGTAATATAGCATTTGTCTTTTCATGTCTATTTCCACTTGGCATATATAATAACATGGACTAGGTTCATCTTTGTTATTATTTGTGATAGTTTTTTTATTGTCAAGGTGATGTACATAGGGTTTATAGTTATATAAGTAAGGTAATAAGTCCATTTCTTGTCAATGTATTAGCCCTTCCCTCATTTTATCCTACTTTCCCTCCCTCACCTCCACCCCCCAAGTTGTACAGATCATTTCCAACATATTTTATTGTGAATATCGCTGCTACATTGGTTCCCCACTTGTCTTTTGTCTCACCATTCTGTTGTTTCCCTTCCCTTCCCTAATTCAAACAAACATATATACTATACCAGGGTACCATAATCAAATACAGTGACAACAGGGGATATACCATGGGGGGGGGGGGGAACATACAAAAGAAACAAAAAAATCACATAGTACATTAAAGACAAAAATAACAAAGAAAAACCTCTCCTATCCATGTCTTGGAGTTCATTTAGCTTATCAACATTTTATATGGTCATATGTGCATAGCTATTGAGCTTTGCTGCTCACCTGCAAGGATTATCCTAGACATATACTAATTATTACAAATAAGAGAAACCATAGGACCTGTGTTTCTTTGGGTGTGGCTTACTTCACTTAATATGATTTTTTCCAAGTCTTTCCATTTCCTTACAAATGGGGCAGTGCCATTCTTTCTGATGGAAGCATAGAATTCCATTATGTATATATATACATATAAATAGATATAAAACCTTTTCTTGATCCATTCGTCTACTGAGGGGCAACTGGATTGGTTCCATAGCTTAGCTATGGTGAACAATGCTGCAATAAACATAGTTGTGCTGGTAGCTTTAGTATGGCCTTGTTTGTGTTCATTTGGGTAAATGCCCAGAAGTAGGATTTCTGGGTCATAGGGGAGTTCTATGTGTAGTCTTTTGAGGAAGCTCCATACTGCTTTCCAGAGTGGTTGAACAAGTTTACACTCCCACCAACTGTGTAGTAGAGTTCCCTTTTGGCCACATCCCCTCCAGCATCTGCTGTTATTAGATTTCTTGATTACAGCCTTTCTAACTGGGATGAGGTAGAATCTCAATGTTGTTTTGATTTGCATTTCTTTCATGGAAAACACACAATCTCATCTAATTTCAATTTTTTAAAATACATATGTAGAGGCTCCTGTGTCTTATACTATTTCTACTTTACAGTTAGCTTGAGAAAACTCCCTAGTGTTTTCTGTAGTAATTCTATCACTTTAGATGATTTCTAACAATATGCACTATTATAATTTCTTAACAACTTTAACAATATTT